ATTTTTCATAATCTAGAACTTCCTGTATATTTAATTTTCCTTTTTATTTAACTTATTAGTCTAAAGGAGCTTTGTCCCTGAGGGACTATTGTTTTCGTTTTGCGATTTTGCGTCGAATCACTCTGAATGTCCGTTTCACTTTTCAGATTGTTGCCACCAAATATTATCGCCCTGTATTATATTTGAAGAAATTAAATAATGAAGTATCTGCATAAATATATGTATATTTCTTGCATTGTGATAAAACAACGGTACCTAGAGCCATCCAATTTTGAATGATGTAATTCTACTACGAATATTAAACCCTACAACTACTACTACGAACATAAGCCCAAATTTGAAATTTAGAATTTGTTACATTATCGATTTCATATTTTGTAAAACTTTAACGAGTATTTGATTAACAAACTCAAGGATTTCAAAGCGAGTAATGGCAACGTTGCACAGAAAAAAACATTTTTGTCTCCAGCGCGCCAGACTGTGTATCGGAAATTTTGAAGATATGCTCAATTTAAAATTATTCTGTGATATTGTCCTTGAACAGAATTTTATGGTTTAGGTGCGAAGACGTGATATTTAATAAATAAAGGTAACACACAAAATATTTTTAAAAAGCGCCCCTTTGGACGTAATTTAAAATCTGAAAACCTTTCAGATTTTTTTTTTATCTGGAATTAAAATTTTATTCATAAGTCTGTTCTCTAAGCACATTAGAAAAAAACTACGCTGTGCAAAATTCATTGTGCGGAAATGTTTTTATCTTCTTTTCTGTCTTTTATACTGAAAAAATAAGACAAAGGTTCTATATGAGCTCATTATTTGTGTTTCAAGCATTACTAGAAAAATTACTAAATTATATTTTCCTTCCCTTCCTCACCGACTAAATAATAAACACTTTGTTAGTAATTTTGAAATTACCAAATTCCTAGCTGGACATGGTAATTTCAATTCATATCTGAAGAGACTTAGATTATCTAGTACAGACTTGTGTTCATGCAGTTTCGGGGGAGTGCAAAATGTCGAACCTTTGTTGTTCTATTGTTCAAGCTCACGTAAGGACGAAAAGAACTCATTTCTAGGTTAAAACGCTGTGAATATTACATTTCTTTCCCATCTTCACGTATTTGTCCAAGATAAAATGGCTTTCTCTTTCTTCTGTAAATTTATTTCTTACGTGTCTTCTGTGAATTTGTAAGTTTATTTTATTTTGTGTTTTGTTGTTGTACTTGTTTGTTTTTTACTTAGCTCTGTAAGCCTTTTGTAATACTATGTTGTGCACAAGGAATTTAAAATTTTCAATTAAAAAAAAAGCATTACTAGAAAATTATACATTCTAAAGCATAAATTAATACCGCAGTGATTAAAATTAAACATTTTCTTAAATTTCTGCGTGATCGATTCAGAGAATTATTTTTATGAGCTAAAGTTATATTTTTATGAGCGCCTGTAAATGTATAGAACCACCATGAACCATCACGTATTTGTGCTATGAAAATAAAAGAGGATAAAAATAAAAATAAATAAATTTATCTTCTTATTAAATATTCTATCTCAGATAGAGTTTTGCATTATCGAGTGAAAGGAAAGTCATGTTAAAAGTAGGTCTATAGATTATATGCTTGTAACTGTGGAAGTAGATGAAAAAAAATTAAAAACTTAAAATTCATAGTAAAATTTGTATCACGATATTTGTTCCGTCTATCATTTTTTGAAATGAAACTGAAATTTATTAAGTAAATATAGAGGAAATTTTGCTAATCTTATTTTATTATTATTTTTGTATAATACATAAAAGAATTTCCTGATCGCTACCAAAATTATTTTCTTTATTATAGAAATCGATTTAAATTATAAATTTATTTTCTATTAAAGAAAGCAAAATGTACACCTGTTTGGATTAATTACCTTACAGTTAAAAAAAAGTATCAACGAAGTAGGGCATTTACTTAAAAATGTATAGATCTCGCCAAATCACAGATCTGCAGAATTGCAGCTTTGATATAAATACATCTAAAGTTTAGAATTAAAAGAAAAAGTTGAATTTCAATTATTAATATTTATGAATTTGTAATTCTGTTATGTGCATCTTACAAAATGTTCTTTCTTTTGAGATATCTTTCTTTTGGTATAGGGATAAAATACTGAAAAACAGACTTGGAAGATTCAAATTGGGATTCAAGCTTTGTGCTGAAGGTATGTATGTTCAATAAATTCATGATTTAGCTGCTTTGATTGCATTTTCAAAAGACAAACAACTTACGCTTTGAATACAATGCTTATAACTGCTTTTATTCACATAAAATATTTTGAAGTAAGAACATGGTGTATTCAGTTTTTCAGTATTTCAGTTTTTTCCTTAATCAATAACTATGTTTACATTTGAATTGCTTATGTTTTCGAATTTTTAAAACTAAATATGAATAGCAAGTAATATGAAATATACCTATTCAGTATAGGTAACAGGGCATAAATTCATGAAACTATGACCTGATGCTTCCAAGGTTATTATTATTTACAGGACATATTTACAAAGATTATATAAAAAATTTTTACAGTGTTTGTAACGAATACACACAAAAAGTGATAACATAGCTTTGAAATTTTTTTACATTAATTATCTGTAAGTACAGTCATAGTAAGTCTGTATCTCTACCATCAGCAGTTGTCTGTAAGAAGTTAAGGCAAATAAATAAGTTTTAAATAAATACGTTCAATGAAAGAGGATAATACAGATAAAAAAGAAAGGGTAAAATTTTTAATAATTTTTTAAATCAATTACTTAAACGATGATTCATTTGAATATCATAACCTATCCCTAAACTAACATTTCATTGTATTTATATTTCGAAAGCTTTAATTGTACATCTGTTCAATAACTTACTTCTTGTTTAATAAATCTTATTATGAAATTTATTTGATTTAATTAAATGCTTATATTAAGAAAACTGAACAAAAGATGATATTACAATCTAATGAGCAAAATTTTATATTATTTACCATTTTCTAAACTGAGCGAAAAAAGGAAGACTTTCAAATTCTTATTCTTGTTTTATGTTATCTTTTTTTAGTAAATTAATTATTGATAATAATTTTTTTTTACCATTTCCTTTTTATTACCTAATTTACAATATATTTTTTTTAAATGATGGAACTGTAATTTTCAGTTACGCTTCTTAAATACTGTTCATTTACATTTCGTATATATTCTTGCATACTGTTTACTTAATCACTTACATTTTATTTGTTCACGTATATTTCGCTCACATTATTCACTAATATTTCGCTGATACTATTCACTTATATTTAGCTCATCTTATTCACTTACATTTCGCTTATATTATTCACTTATATTTTATTTATTCACTTTACTCATACCATTCTCTTCCATTTCCTTATTAATGTATTGACCCGAATATAAATAAGTAAAATATATTAAATTAATTTGACCTTTAATTTCTTAAATTTAACTTTAAAACAAAATATATTTACTTAATTTTACTTCAGAGTATGGCAGCAATGTGTTTACTTCATTACAGTATATTTAATATGGCAATGCATATAAACAATTGCAATGTAAAAATATGGCAAATCAAATATGGCAATATATTTAATATGGCAATGCATATATCAAACAATTGCAATGTAAAAAATATGACAAATCAAAATATGGCAAGGCAAAAAAACCTATTTACTTACCTTTTCTTAAAATTGTTAAAATTTCTATTACCTTTACTGCAATAATACCTTCAATTTAGAAGCTTCCTTTGAACAGCATTTGTATGTGAAGATTTATAAATGTGGTTTTCTTATATTCGGGTCAATTCAGTCAGTCTGTACATATTATTTTAGGTTTATTTTAGCCCTTTTGCATTAAGAACGATAAATGACAAAAGTTTAACAAAACAATATTCTTTTAAGTTTGAATTCGAAGGAAAAAAACAAATCTTACTCTTTTACAAAATTTGAACAAAGGGTGCATTTCTATCAGTTTCTTCTTTTACATATTTTTAAGTAATAATATATTTTTCAATAAACTCGAAAAGCAGAATCCAGCTTAAAAAAATGCTCAACTCGATTACTCTCCAGAAGTAAACATTGATTATTTTTTTTCTTGTTTCACTGACAGTAATCTTTTGTTGTCACTGTGTTGACTATTTACATATCGCAACATAGCTTCAGTTCACAGTTTTGGAATGTACACACAAGAATATGAGTAGGAACTCAACACTAACTTCTTACTGTCCAAAGCATAGATTTGTGATCACGTTTTTGAAAGAATTGCACACATTTGAGTTTCAGGGGGAAACACACATAAGTCTGTTTAAGTTGGCATAACCGATATTTCACATCGTCAGATATTACTTCAGTATGTGGATTAAGCTTTTCTAACTGTTTGATTAATTTATTATTCATATAAATATAATGAAGATTTATCTTTTCCTAGCAATGAAATTTAATATTAATTGAAAGACAATTACTTTCTGCATCGAAATGTAAAAAACACGGGAAAATTTTATTCACATACATCATGAGAATTAAACTACAGTTTGATTTTAAAATATTACACTTTTGACTAAACTTCTAAAAGTATAAAACAATTATTTTTAAACGTATAAAACAATTATTTTTAAACGTATAAAACAATTGTTTTTAAACGTATAAAACAATTATTTTTAGACGTATAAATCAATTATTTTTAAACATATAAAACGATTACTTTTAAAAGTATTTAAAACAAAACTAATTAACTAATTAATTAATTCTGGGGTCTTAGCTATAATGTACATTTTTTAAATAAATCGAATGCTTAGTTAATATATTAAAAATATGTATTTAAATATTTTCCTCAAAATACAGGCTTTTATATTTAAAAATATACATAAGTTTTCAAAACCATTTTATATAAAATTTTGTATTGCAAGATTCGGAATAATAATTGTATCGTTCTATTGCTGATCTCTTGTTTTCGAGTTATCTATTATTTTTCATGATCAAATGCATTTTTTTTTTTTTTTTTTTTTTTTTTTTTCCGTTTAAACTGATTTTTAATCTCTACTAGACGAATTTTGTTTTACCTAATCGAAGGAATTGTTTCATCATTTTAAGGTTTTCTATGTTCATTTACATTTTATTTTTCATTAAATTGACTTTTAATCGTTACTAAACAAATTTTGTTTTCCTGAAATTAGAAGAAAACATTTATCGTTTAATTGTTTTATGTTTACATGCATTTTATTTTCTATTAGACTAAATTTAAATTAAATTAATAAGTTTAACCGAAATTGACTTAACATGATAATAGTTATTATCACGTGAATTTTGTTTCACTGAGTTCGAAAAATTGTTTTTTTTATCATTTTATTTTTTCTATGATTATTTACATTTTTTTTCTATTAAACTGATTTTCAATATCTGTTTCAAATTAAATCATTGTAGCTTTATTCACTAAAAACCTTTCACAGTTTCTTGAATTCAGAAAAACATTTAAGTTATGACTCTTAATTTAAAACATTTTTCAGATGTAATTTAAAATCTTAGTAGTAAGATAATTAATTTTTAGAAAGGCAGAAAGCCCTGACTGGTTCAAAATTCTGTGCCTCATTTTCATAAATCTAAAATTTCTATGTACTGATTAGCAACAAAGATTTATTGTTTAAAATATGAGTAATTAGTTTGAATCAGTACTTAGCAAAGCATAAATTCTGAAAAATTAGATGAATTGTATTAATTAAAATTCATGCGGGCTGTTCCTAAAAACTTTCTGACGATTCCCTCATTTAATTCGAAGTATTGAGTATATTAATTAATAATTTACGAGGAAAACTAGTGAACTGAAATACAGAAATCAATAATTATCATTCTGTTTCAATCCATTTTATAATTACTCAATGGGAAATTCATTTTGCGTATACACCGCATTACACCAAGGTGTAACATTTTATTTTATTCTAAATATGTGCAGCATTTATTTTGCCCACAAAAGAAAGAAAATAAAGTAATTTATAAATAAAAATGTAATTATATGGAGATGATATTAAAAACTGTATTATTGTTGATCTAGAAAAACAAAGTATTATAAGTAACTTCATTTTATTTCTTTAACTGAAAAATTTGTCAGTTTACGTAAATAATTTAATAACTGATATTTATGCAAATACCTCATTTCCTTCATCAAAGGCAAATAAACACAACATATCTACTTAATTATTCTGCGGTGTATATACAGTTTGTATTATCCTACGCTTTAATAACTATATTTGCGCCATTAAAAGCGCTTTTTAACTAATATTTTTTTTTATCTACATGGTACTATTGTTACTATTGGTAATTTTAATGCTTATCTAAGTATTGTTGACTGCATAAGTATAATACATTTTTTTAAATAATTAAATGCATTCGAAGTGGCTGAAGGATTTTGCAAAAATTAGTTTGGAAATGATTTTAAAAACTTTCTTGATGAAACTATATGTTACCTACTTCCGTCATTCTCATATCAGTTTCCATTTGCAAAGGAATAAATCCACAGAAGACTACTGTTACCAGTATGGTATAAAGAGGTTCTCTCTGTACTAAATGTGTACAATTTTTCAGAACAGCCATTGTTCCAGAATGGCATAGCATGTCATAATAGTTTTTTTTTTTAAATGTTATATGACTTTTGTCATTACCAAGTCCTTCCTTGCAACTGTAAGTACGATGTGCACATAGCGGGATTGGTGACAGCGCTTAAGTCCAGATTTCCGGCGACGGCCTGTCCGTAGCCACTCATGCCGTTCAGCGCCCCCTGCAGTGCGGCCGCCGCCGACCCTGCCCCGCCGCCCGTTAGAGAACATGCCGACTGCTGGGCGAGCGCGTGGACCCTCGCCACCGCCGCTGAACTTTGGGCACACGAGTCGCCGAGGCAGCTGTTCCTATGACCGCCGCCACCGCCCACGGAGACTTGGGGCTGATGGTGCTGCTGCTGCTGTTGGTGCTGATGCGGCTGAGACTGCTGCTGAAGACCGGTGCTCTGAAGTAAGTCACCGGCACCGCTGCTGCCGTCGTCCTCCGCTGATCCGGTGGAACACGGCTTGCCGTCCTTTACCAGCACCGGCACAGCCACTTTCCTTGGAGATTGAGATTGGGACTGCTGTTGCTCGGCCATCGCTTTTTCCTTTGCTTGCCTTTTGCACTTGTACCGATGATTCTGGAACCAGATTTTGACCTGCGTAGGTGTGAGGTGTATCAAACTGGCCAGATGTTCCCGCTCCGGTGCGGATAGGTATTTTTGTTGTTTGAACCGCCGCTCCAATTCGTATACTTGGGCTTGAGTGAAAAGAACTCTTCGCTTGCGCCGTTGAGTGAGTGGAAATTGGACACCAGCTGCGGAAGCCACCTTCTGGTCTGCTGCTGCGGCGGCAGCTACGCTGCAAGCACTGAGACTGGGCATATTCATATTTGACATGGTTGATGGACCCATGAGCCGAGAAACTGGAAAGAAAAAGGGAAAAATCTCAACCTTTGAAGCATACAGATATTCAGTACATTTTCTAATTATGCAAAAGAAAAGTGAGGACAAACGGACATTGATTTTTCTGCCTACCGGTATCATAATTTGCTTCTATATGGCATCGGAATCGGGAATGATTTCCTGCAGGAAAGCGTGGTTTAAAACACAGAGGATTCATTTAAAATATTAAATAAAAATTTAGACGAAATCTAAAGTTTCTTTTTTTTTTTTTTTTTTTTTTTTTTTTTAATGATCTTGTATATCGGGAAATCAAAAAGGCAAAGACAGTTTCTTTTTTGCATTTGATAAAGAAACAACAGACCTTAATTATGTAAACAATGAAAATTTGGCATTAGATGGCATCTGTTAACCCTTTGCGGCACAGTGTGACCTAAAAATTTCCTTCTGTACGCACAGAAAAATTTAATGAAAAAGGATTTATAGGTTACTATAGGTTACTCTGAACCTTTTTTATTTATAGTAGATGGCAGCTCAACACAAACCAGTCCATGTATTTTAGCCATGTTTAGTTTTTGATGTTAGTCACCCTCATTTTTCGAAGAAATTTTCCAGATTTTTTTAGGTTATAAAAGGAATTATTTGAAAAGAAATGTTTTCTATTAAATTTTTTTTGGCTATATGCTGATCTCCTTATTCTATATTAGTTTTAAATTTTTACCTCGAAATCTTGCCTAAAATCAAACGGCGAACCCTAGGTGTGCCCAGACCGAGCTCACCGATAATCTAGGACAACTGAGAGTCTGTATTCTTTGTTTCTCCGCATCTCATCGGTCAGTTCATTGACAACAATGCTCGTTTCAGCACTCTTTTCGAAGCTCTATTAAATCAGTGTGCCCACTTTGGACACACCAACAGAATTAAACGATAAGTGTACTTCACAAAATTTTATTTGTGTACTCCTCTAGTCTAATTAGACTGCTTACCTTTCTTTTTATCGAAGCTCCAACTTTAAAAGGTAACCTGCCGGAAAGGGTTAAATGTAAATAATTGAGGGAAAGCGAATAAAATAGGCTTAAAAAGAGCAAAGAGACAATTAAATTTCATTGTTATAGGAAAAGGACAAAGTCCGAGAACTGAGTGAAACAGGAGGCGAAAGTTAAAAGTTGGCAGGAAATAAGACTCTATATAACGAATATTTATTTTAAAAGGGAACAGTCGCGACAGAACAGTAGAAATGCAAGTCTTAGTATCAATTATTTGATAACAATTAATTGTTTCACTTTTATTCATGTGAATTATTTTATAATTTAATTTCGTAATATTCTAACAGTGAGAAAATAAATGCTTAAAACCTTCTCTAAAAACACATAAATCCTGTTTTCGACCTGTAAGCCCAAAAAATGTATGCAAATGCAACAGCAGTTTCAAATGGTATCTATCAGGCGAGGAATTTAAAATTTTTACCTATGTTTGAGTTCTACAGTTTGCACATTTTATTTATTTATTTGCTTAAATCAGTAACTAGTTTTGTAACTGGGAGGAATTCTACTTTTCAGTTAATTATGAAATGCATTAAAAGAAAAGTCTAACGACACAGAGCCTGAAACTGAGAAACCTGTAACACAATGAGGCTGTATCAGATATTTCTCAGTATATTTAAAAATAAACAAGTTTTTCTAAATGAGAGATTTAAAAAGAAAATGAATCACTGGATGGAAACTGAATTGAATTAAGATTGAAAATGTTATATGAAAATGTATCCACTGATAATTAATATAATAAAATAAAGGAAAGGGGGAAAGGTATAAAAATACATTAGATCCCCTTTGGGTGTTACTTCATCCAGTATAAATCAAATTAAATGCAACAGTTGAATTTCAGAAGCAATGTAAAAATTAACTTAAAATACAATTAGGATGGAAAAATATTGAGCTTCATAATTTTAAAATGCATTAAATTACCATTTATGCATTAAATTCGCATTTTAATGCATATATCTGAAGGAAAAATGATATTTCTCAGTTTAAGTACATTTAATCTGCTTTTAGCTCACTTTCTTTTTTACTTCCTTGTACGAAGTAAATAGGAAGTATTGTAATCGCGAAAAATTTCAGGCAGCATATTTCAACGAAAATATCCATTTTGACCGCTACTGAATGCAATTTAACGATGTTTTTGCGTGATATCTGTACGTAAGAACAGAATAAAAGACTCGTTTCCTCCAAAAAAATTATAAAACTGCTTTAAAATTAATTCTGAAGAGAATTTTTCGTGGCGTCTGTACGAACGTATGTACGTACGTACGTAGGTATCTCGCATGCGTTTAAGATTTACTTCGTAAATTTTAATATAGATATTTTGAGTTTTTATGTATTTTTGCCTTCTCGCGAAGTGAGAACTGAATTAATTGAATGAGAAATATTCAATCGTCTGTGAAAAACTGTTTCTTTTTTGTTTTGTTTGCTTAATTTCTTTTATACATCATTCTAGCTTTGTTATAGTATTTGAATAGAACATGTGGCAACGATTAGATAATTCTATCTTTAAATGATATAAATTTTGTGCATTATATTATAATATGAACGAAATATAATACTGTTAAGTGATCTAGCGCCAGAGTGTCGCTATGGTAAACTAATAATAGAGTGAATTTTAAAGAAGCATTTATTCTATTGTGGTTTATGCGCTGTCGGCGAAGTAAATTTAATTCAATCCAATAAGTTTAAATGAAATGCAAGAAAAATGCGTATAATTTAATATTTCGTACAAGGAAGTCATGTGGTGTACACATCAGATTTTTATTTTATTATTTTTATTAGCACGTACATCAGTCCTTAGTTTTATTGATTCAATAAAAATCACATTCTTCCTTTGTTTGTTATATCATGTAAATTTCCTCATCTTTCTCTTTTAAATGCTGTTTTTTGTCTCATAAAATATTATACAATAAAAACAGATTAGCATAATGTTAACAAACAGCGTATTATTTCGAATATCAAAACAAAATTTATAAAGCACAGTATAGATTAACAGAATCAGAAAATAACAATTATAAGTTTTTTAAAAAATATTGGCTAAAATAATAAAAAGTTATGTAGAAAACATAAATAAAAAAAAAATGAATAAATAAAAACCAAAAGATGTACCTGAAAGCTTTCAGATTTTAACGATCGTTCAAAAGGGCTGTTTTAAAGTTTAATCGGATTTATCAGTAGAGATTATCGATAGAGATGGTCCAGGTAGAATAACGAAACTTTTCATAAAATATTAGACGATTATGCATTTAGACTAATATGGGAATTGTATATTTAAAAAAATGAGTCTTTAATGTAATTCTATAAAAATCTTTAATGTTTTTAATTAGATATATCATGAATTAAATGCATTTTTATTTAAATTAATCCATTTCAAAGTAAAAGATAATATTCTTAAGACCTACATCTATCGCTTTTAAATAGTTTTGTTTGTTAATTAATATCAAACAGCTTAAATACTAAAGAATATCTTACATCTCTCCCAATGGCAACAGACTCGAATGAAAATAGAAGCAACGCGAAGTTGTGTTCCGAGACTAAAACCCTCTCGAGCTAAAAGATATGTAATGCTATGCGTAATAATAAAATTAATTCAATCAATTTTTCAAATCAAAAACGTCTAAACGGCAATAAATAAATAAAGCCAAATTTAATTGTAAATAATTCCGAATGACAAGAAAATAAGTTTCAGAAGAAAGGCAAAATATGTGAAAAGTTCGTACTGAAAAAAAAAAAAAAAAAAAAAAAAAAAAAAAAAAAAAAACGTATTTTAAGGAATCTATGTATGATATATTCATGCGTATTCGATTCGTCCTTTAAATTTCCAGAATTTTTTTAGTTTGTTTAATTGCTAAATAATGGCACGTTTGAATAAATACCAGTGTAAAATAATTATGGACTGTATTTGAAAGGTTATAAATTGAATGGCAAATCAGAATTTTTTGTCATGAACACGAATAATGAAAATAAGCCATATATATGTTACGGTGAAACACCGAAATCTGGAGAATGTCGACTTTCACCGCTGAATGTCAACATTCACATAGTCTCTTGATGTATGTCCGAAATATTTTCCAAATACTCTTATTTCTGACTTACACCGGTCAATGTCGACATTCACCATGGTCTAATGGTGAATGTTGAACATATAACAATATTGTATTTTCTTCTCCGTAATTCAGTCGCGAATAAACGCACTTGAAACTTGAAATAAGAACTTAAGAACGTGAGAACCTAAAACACACAATACATTCAAAATGAGAAAGGAAAATAATAGAAGTTAAAAACTTACTTAATTATACAGTACGTTCTAAATGAAAAAATAACAGTAATAAAAAACTTACTAAATTATGTGATTCAAATCTTATTTATTGCAACAACTTAAACTATTATGGCACTTTATGACCTCTCTTTTCGACTTTCACCAGAGCATATCTGTGATTGCAGACATACACCGGTGAGGGTCCGAATATACAAGAATGTAGTGCAATAATCAGTCTTTCACCGACGTATTTGGTGAATGTTGATATTCTCCGGTGAAAGTCGACATTCTCCAATTTCGGTCTTTCGAGGTAACATATATATAAGCAAGTAAAATTCCTGGCAAGCAAGTATTTTAACTCCTTTCTTCCCATCTCGGCTTGATGAACAATGGTAGTTCGAGTGGGTCCAAATTCTGATGAAGGAGCTGGCGGCATGAAATTTTCGTCGTTTTCCCATATGTAACATGAACACTACACAGTTTCCTTTGAAAAACTTCACAAAGGCAGCCGCCCAGACGGTTTAGTGGTTGGGAAAGCCTGACTGCGATACCGAAGGGCCTGGGTTCGAATCCCGGAGAAGGCATGGTTGTAACTGTCCGTCCCTTCATAGGAGGCGATGGTGGCCCACCTATTAGGCGCCTCCATAATAAAGAGACCACCACATCTCGCCTTGTATAGATGAATGGACTGGGTTACACTGTAACTGTTCACAATCTGCCATTG